TCCATCTGAATGTTTAAAAAAACACATACCCAAACGGATTAGCAAATATAAAAAAGGGAAGAATAACACAGCTCCACAAAAAAAATGAAAGTCGAGTGTCAGAAACCAAACCTACCCTACCCTATGTTTTTCGGGTCGCTGAACACGAATCCGAAGTCCGTTTCACCCCATCAGGTCCTGATTCCCCATAAACTCAAAGTTTAACTCCAAAAACCACTAAAATCGTGATCTATGTAATTCTCAAGCATATTTACCCACAGAACAATATAATTAATCAATACACAAACCATAAGCCCTCAAACTCTGAGACCCTGTGTCGCCGTAACCTCAAAACCCGGGACCCCCGTAACGCCATAACCCCTTAACCCCCATGAACTCGTTTTACAGGCATTCCGGAAAAAAAATTCCGGAAACCAAAACCTACTTACCCTATGTTTTTGGGGCCGCTGAATACGAATCCGAGGACCGTTTCACCCCATCACATCAGGACCTTCCATAACCTCGAAAATCAACCCCAAAACCCTATAACTCGTGACTATGTAATTATCAAGAATATTCATCCACGTGACACACGAATGAATCACAAACCATACGCCCTGAACTCCTTAGACCCCGTAAAACCGTTACCTATAAACCCAGTATACCCCCGTTATGCCATAACCCCGTGACGCCCATAAACTCGTTTTACAGGCATTTCCCGACAATATGAATATTAAGTTTCAGTGACTCGGTTACTGTATAACCTTATAGCTCGCTTTGTAACAAAGAATTGAGTCTCAAACACTGCGAGGTTGAAATATGCGCGCTACTCTTTGAAGCGTAGTAATATTTATCAGCTCAAAATCTGAAAACTCCCCAACTTTATCATTTTCCAGAGCCGCAAACCCAAAAATCGAAGAACGATCTGAAACGTTCAAGCCTAATCAGCAACAGAGATCTTCAACGCGAGGTTGCAACAGATATTTGCGTCTCCAACGCTAAACTAATGTCCTGTATCTTATTATGTGAGGAACTTTATTAGTTTATGATAAGCGAGAAATATATTCTTTTCTCATGTGTTTAATGTGTCTCGATATAATACCCACATTCAGCCGAGCCCAGGAACGACGACGTGGACATAGCAGGATTCCGTTCCCTTTGGGGTGCTTTATTTTTGTGAGTTCCCCTCGCCTCTCACAGTCGGGGTACTTTATTTTCGTGAGTTCCCCTTGCCTCTCACAAATAGAAATATGAATATAAATTAATAAAAACAAATGTAAGTAGAATAAAAGTAAAGTTTTTCATTCTGTTTTGCATCTTTTATGATATCTCACTTGCTTACTCTCGAAGGATCGACGAAGTGAACGTCGCTTATGAGTTTGGCTATCCACTTGAACATCTCGTTTCAAATTCCAAAAGTAATCTGCCATCATATTTACTCCCCGAACTCCTTGGTATCTTTTTTCCATATCTTTGATATCCTGGTGGAATCTTTCTCCTTGCTCTTCACTAAAGTCGCCCAATTTATCTGGAAAGAAATTAATATGAGAATCTAAAAAATGTAATTTAACGCTCATGTTGCAGTCTAGACTTTCAAAATTGTGAATAAGATCACTCACCAGTTCCTTATAATTTGGACTTTTCATATTTCCGAAGAAATTTGTTGAGACGTTGTAAAAACTTGTCCATGCAGCTTTCTCTGTATTCGTCATATGATTTATGAACAATGAATCGTTGAAAAGTTTCCGGATTTGTGGACCATCAAATACACCTGCCTCCAATTTTGCATCACTTAGTTTGTTCATTTTTTGTGCAATATACTTGAAACAGTCTCCTGATTTATCAAGAGCTCTTACAAACTGTTTCATAAGCCCGAGTTTTAAATGTAAAGGTGGTATTATGATTTTCGATGGATGTACAAGCGGTTGATTCGTAACATTCACGGATCCTGGTTTTAACGACAATCGTTCGGGCCAATGTTTCACCTTGTAGTGACTATTACGAGCTCTACTATCAAAAAGGCAAAGGAAACAAGGGAATTTTACATTACCACTTTGCATCCCCAAAATAATCCCAATGATTTTTAAGTCACCACAAATCTGCCACTCATGCTCCGAATATTTAATTTTGTTCAAAAGATTCTGAGCATTTTCGTAATTTTCTTTGAGAACTGTGGAATGAGCGATTGGTATTGGAGCAAAGACATTTGTATTATGGAGGAGGACTGCCTTCAAACTACGGAGTGATGAGTCGATAAAAAGGCGCCAATCTTTTGGCCTGTAAAAATCAGCTTTTAAACTGTTTATAAGACCAGCGACATCGTTACAATATACTAAATGTTCAAATTCGTCATGAGTAAAAAACTGTCTTAGTTCGCTTTCGCGATTTCTGTATATCGTTATTTTAGTACCTTGTTCTAAAAGATTCTTTTCTTTTAACCTAGAAGCTAAAAGTTCATGTGCCTCTTTTGATAAACCCAATTCTCGGCCCAAATCATTTAGCTCATCTTGACTGAATTGTTGTGGAACTTTAGTCGTTTTACAGACGTCATCGCTCAAACTAGATTCTTCGTTCGATTCTTCATCTTCTTCAGTGCCACTGGTACTCACGTTATTTTCATCTTGTTCTACCATCGCTTCTTTACTAACGTTGTTTGATTCCATGGGGCGACAGTATGGGGTTTCCAGGAAGGTAGCAGGCGAAACATTTGATGGGTACCTATACTTTATTTTAGAATTATTTTTCGAATTAAATCCCTTGGTTTCCGTTAAACAGAAAAAACAATCATCTCTTGATTCTGGTTTGCCCCATACGACTGGTGATTTGAATTTTGAATTTGATTTGGCCTTAGTTCTGTGGCACGTAAGTAACATTTTGTGACAATAAGCGCATACAATGTGAGGGACCCAGTCTTCATTTTGATTCGACATATTACGATCGAAGCAATAGAGGTATGAACTCTGAATAGCATCTGTTATGGTTTTCCGACAGCTTGGTACGACGAAAAGACCGCACACATAACAGAAATTGTTTACTTTGTTGGGATTGTCGTGAACATGTATCGATACTTTCGTCTTCGTCGATGCTGGTGCACCGACCTTTTTGGAATTGCGGTTGCTTGATGACGACGCCTGCGGGCCCGCTTTCGCACCCTGACCAGCCGCTGATACTGGGGTTTCCAATCCCTGCATCGTAACTTTACTACGTGTGTTTGCCATGACGGCTCAGACGCCGTTATCCAGGGTCTCTGCCGGATGGCGAAACAACTCCGTTGCCCACCGTCAACCACGTGGAGGTGCCCTGGATTGCAAACACGCGTAGAAAATTACTAGATTTGTCTCACTATCAATTCGTTTACGCCAGCTTCCCGACATTCGATTTCAGATTCCGACATTTGGATCAATTGGTCGTGGGCTTCATTTTTGAGTTTATGGGAAATCCTGATCTGATGGGGTAAAACGAGCACAAGATTCGTGTTTAGCGACCCGAAAACTATGGGGTAAGTAGGTTTTGGTTTCCGGAATTTTTTTTCCGGAATGCCTGTAAAACGAGTTCATGGGGGTTAAGGGGTTATGGCGTTACGGGGGTCCTGGGTTTTGAAGTTACGGCGACACAGGATCTTATGCTTTGAGGGCTTATGGTATGTGTATTGATTGATTATATTGTTATGTGGGTAAATATGCTTGAGAATTACATAGATCACGATTTAAGTGGTTTTTAGGGTTGAACTTTGAGGTTATGGGAAATCAGGACCTGATGGGGTGAAACGGACTTCGGATTCGTATTCAGCGACCCGAAAAACATAGGGTAGGGTGGGTTTGGTTTCTGACACTCGACTTTCATTTTTTTTTGTGGAGCTGTGTAATTCTAAAAAATTAATAAATCAAAAACTACCTACAGTCGCTATTCCAAATAATTGCAACATCTTTAAAAAATGTTCTTCTGTGTTAAAAAAACATGACATTATTCCAATCCCTTATTTACAAAAACCATTACAAGAGTTCATTCGTTTAGAAAAAGACAATTCTGATTTATTAGACAGCACCGATATTGTCTACAGTTTTAACTGTAAACAATTTTCAGCGGTTTACATAGGTGAAAGTAAGTGATCCTTAAAAAGTAGATTAAAAGAACACAAAAAAAACATTAACTCAGATACAGTAGTAGCTACACATAGAAGAATTTTCTCTCTCGAATTTGACTGGGACAAAGCTAAGATATTGGATTATGAAAAGAATTATAAGAATCGCAAAATATCCGTAATGTTACGCATCGCTTTACATAAAAACACTTTAAATAGAAAAGAAGATATACAATATCTTAGTCATATCTATAAGCCTTTATTAAGGTCGATGAGGAAGGGATGATAGATTAAGAATATATATATATATATATATCTGTTGAAATACTTGATTTCTTACTGTATTGTAACATGACTGGCTACGATCTATTCGTTTTAGCGTATAATATGTAATTTGGCTACGAGAGAAATCAGGTACACTTACGAACATATAATTACATGCCATTAAAATTACATTTGTAACTTTATTGTTAATAATTTGTTGTTTTTCTGTTAATAAAGCCTGAAGAGGTCAGCAAATGTGCTGACGAAACGTTGCTGAATATAATTAAAAAGAAGAGAATTTCCAGTTCTTACTATTTCCCTTTTTTCCATTATTACAAATTTTATCATTTAAGTAAAATTTCTTGCTCGTTTTGAGTTTAAAGCTCTTATATAAAAGCAAAATTAACCTTGAAAATCACATTCCACTGTAAGTTGGAGGTTATTATTAGTTGGCTGTTTCTGAAATATACAACTTTTATCTGAAAAATTTGTTTAATACTTAAAAAAATTTTGAATTATTTTACTATTTGAGTTAAAATGTGAAACTGCATATAATTAGTTATAATATACTGCATCCGTGACTAATGTAACATATGTTAAATATATGAAATGCATAGTTTAATTTTGTAGTGTAATAAATTGCGAACATTCATTTCAATTAATAAAATTATTCCAGATACGCAGCTGAATGCTTTGGATTTAACGATGGAATCTCGAAGAAGCAGATGGAAATATGTTATTCGAGAACTGATTTTAGTAACATTCTACGTCAATGCCGTATCCGTTTTTGCTCGAAATATCGGTAAGTATATAAACCTAATTAATTTCTAGTTACTTATTGTGATGAAATAGACCTATATATCTATATTTTATTAAATATGCAATTTTGATTTTGTCTTATTTGATTATTTTACGTACTTCCTCATTATTCACTCCAACCAATCTCTAAGCATCAATTAAAATTCTAATTTTTCGGCCTTCCGTAATATACATTATAGTAAGTGGTGGCTTATTTTTGAATACTTCTTCAGTATATCGGGAAAACGTTAGAAAATTAAAATCATACTGTACTCAGTAGTAGCGAAACCAACTTTCTCTAGTTTTTTATGTACGGTTATCGTTTGATATTTCATACAGTCAATAATATAATAATAATAATATATTTAATGACATGGAATTCATCAATTTTGTTTTAAGTTAATATATTTTTTAACTATACATAGACCATCACGTGTGTACAGGTTTGGATCAAAACGTTGATAAGGGGATGAGTTATCAACTGTTCAAACAATATGCGATGGTTTTTTATTATTTCGATTTGTCGGAGACTAATAAAGATAGGCATGATTTTTTTAAAGACCCGGAATGACCTTTTCTTTCTGACGAAAACGTCGGTTTTAACCGACCGGCTCTCTCTCTCTCTCTCTCTCTCTCTCATTCCGGGCGCTTTGTGGCATCTATATGTTGGAGCGTTTATCCGCACAATACTGCGAAAACCAGCGGATTATCTCATGGTCATTTTGTCTTAGTCATTTTTCATTTGTAAACTATTTACGTTGTTTAGTGCGTAGAGACTCGTACGAATAATGTCACGCGGCGTGTGAGCTTATCCACACGCTCCCTCTTGACTTTGTACAATAGTTGTAAGGTACTTTATAAAATAAAAATGACTGTGATGAGTAACCTATATCTATTCATTTAACAATTTTTTTTTTGAATCCAACAATCTTTACGTGACTTTAGACGACAATGCCCAATATTGCAAACACGCCTTCCAGTACTTTAATAAATAAAATTTGTAACGATTGTTGCCCGGGCAAATGATTTTCTATGTATTTCAACCATAGAAAAGCAATTATGAAAAAAAATAAGAAGCAAATAAGAAACCGTTATAAAAATTAAATGCCTGGTATTAGAGAAAATACAGCACCGAAATAAGCGAATCGCGCGCTAGACGCTTGGTTGCTCGTACGGTACATGTCGAACATTGTACGCGTTAAACGTCTTTAATAAATGAATAATTTCATATTCTATCACTCTCTTACAATTATCATTTCTTAATATAATATAGAACGGATGATCTATGTTAAGGGTCTAATCGGGTGATGTGGAAAAAAAGTGCCCCCAACGATTACGAAAATCTGTTTCGACCACTTTGTTAGGTATGTATGGAAGTCTTTATTCCTAGATTTCAGACCCCTAAGCCCGCATGAGACAAAATGTAATGCCATTTGGTATTGTTCGGTTTTTTATCGATATCTCGGTCAATTTTTGAGTAAGGAACATTTTTTTGTATAGATTTTAAGCTGTACAAAATGATTAGATTGAAAAAATCTTTGGTGCCAAATTTAAATTTTTATAGCGGTATAAAATCTTCAAAAAATTTTTTCTCGAAAACAAAAACCGACCCATCTCTGGGAAAAATATATCTTATATATTTTTACTTCAAAATATTGCTGAATTTGTTCAGTTTTTTAAGAGTGGCGGAACATACTCAACAAAAAAAATAACAACCATTTGAAAACGTAGCTTTTATTTTCTATCGCTTTTTAGATATATTATTTAGTAAAAATAATTGCACCATCCTATTCTACAGGAAAAATACATCGAAAACATGTATCACATTTTTCGTTAATGACATTGTATCATGAGATATCAAGGATACAACTTGCTATCTTATGCACTAGCACGAAAGGACAAAAGGTGTAACTTCAATCATGTATTTATAATGACTCATAATAATCATAATTACTGTACATGTAATTACTACATATGTCCTCAATGTATTTTTTTACATAGAATACGACAGTATAGGCAGCTTTATTTGTGAACGCTTATCTGGAAACCGTTAAAAACAAAAAACAACTTGAAAACATAGATTTTAGATAATTTTTAGGCGATTCTGCATTTTTAACGCGTGACAAGCAATTTTCACGATAAAACTTGTAACGGAGATAAGCGGCCGTTCCCGTCTGGTTAGCTTGCGACCAACCGCACAAATTATTTATTTGGGGATTCGGGAAGCAAAACACGTTTCCACGACTGAATAATGCGTCGAGCAAAACCATGTTAAATGCACGGACCAGAAGTCGGGATGAGGAGTGATACAGCGGCGAATAAACACAATATCGGATTAACACACTAATCCTTTAATTGTCAACAATCGACTACAAGATGACGATCTCACGCCGGTGTACTACGAGCGGCACAATAACAAACGCGAGCGCGAAGGTGAATCGGGGCTGATCTGCCTACCGATTCCCTTTTTAAAACTAAATATTACAATGAATGCTCGATAAATAATTTCCGCCGTTATTTCGTCAACGGGATAACCGGCAGATCTGCCACGCTACCCACCCATCAGCTGGTGCCCAAACATGCAAGAGAGACCTCGACCCTCAGCCTCTCTGACGGCTAGAACTCTTCGCAGTTTGACATCACTGGTGTGCTCCTGGCTAACCGCCTCGCTGGTGTTTTTGTCGTCGCTGTTTGTCCTCTCCCTAATTCTCTCGTTCGCTCTACCAAGATTGCTGCCTCAACTTGTTAGGTTCATCGTTGTTGTTGTTGCTGCTTCTGCTGCAGTTGTCGTTATTTCCACTGTCCTTTGGTTGCTCGGTTTCTGCAGCAGCGAACTGGCGCCGGCGGAACATCACCTTGCTCCAGTAATCCATATCACTGGGGCGGTGTCCCGCAGCCGTATACGCGTCGTATTCCGCGTATACGGCTCGTTGGAGGGTATTGAGAGTGGTCCAGCCTTCTTCGACCTCCCTCAAACCCTCCACTGTCTCCTCCCAGGTTCGTTCGCCAGGCGAGGATGCTTGGCTAGTGAACCTGTGGTGCCAGGTCGCATCGGTGGAGACTTCCTCTATCTGATTGTGAGCGCCCGTGGAGGTCGGTGGGACCGTCATGGGAATTGCTCCCGCTTTTGCTCTGCCGGCGGGAGCAATTCCCGTGAGCGATGCCGCCTCCTTGCGCACTACGCCCTGCACCGTTGATGGGCGCTGGGGCTCTTCGTCCGTGATTTCTTCGATTACTACGGATGATAAGCTCTCGTGAGCTCGCATCCGTGTTCGCTCCTCTTCTTCCTTTTTCTCGCCGAGGAGATGCAGGGCGGCGTGCACGACTCCCTCGACGGCGGGACCTAGGTCCAGTTTGATGAGGGCGGTTACCGCTTCCTCCAACTACTCGTACGAAAACTTCATCCTGTAACAGTTCTACATGTCAATATCGGTAACCCCTTTCCTCACGTATCGAAGGTGGGCGCCTGTTCGGCTGCCCAGGCAGGACCTTCGTCGCTGGGATTGAAGGTGGGGTCCTTTGCGTCGGTCTCCCAGGCCCTTCGTTCGCAGGGCCTCATGCATCAATGGTCGGTGTTCTCGGTGGTCTGCCCCTCTTCCTTTTCCCGACGACGGGAGGGGAGATACGTGGATTTTGTCGGTATGAGGGGGTTCGGGTGGTTAGCGCGTTCTTGCGAGGTCTTCTTCGTGGGCGCTTTACCGCATTAGTTGAAGGGGTGATTATTAGGATCTTATCAGGGGGATTGGAAGGGGTGTGACGAGGGTGGCTCGAAGTTGTCGCGTTATAATTCCGGGGTGTTTTATCCGTAGTAATGGCGCGCCCGTTTCCGCGTGTTGTCGCATCGTTCGCAGTAGGCGGGATGTTCGTCACCTCGGTTCCCTTGGTGCTATGGGTATTGTCGTTATCTCGCTGGCGGGTTTCATCTTCCGGCACGGTATCCTCCTGTCCATAGTAGGGTTTGAGATCTTTGGCGTGGACCAATTCCGCGACCTCTTCCTGCTAGTTGGCAAGGCGGTACGAGTTGACTCCGAGTACTTTCGTGACAATAAAGGGACCTACGAATTTTGGCGCTAGCTTTGCGGAAATACCCTGCGTCGCACTGGAGAATACGCGATTTTTCTTCTATACCTAGTCCCCTTCTTTAAAATCGGGGGTTCTGTGTTTGGCGTTATAATATTTCGCCTGCCTCAGGGACTCGTCCGAAGCGATTTCACAAGCTTGTTAAATAACGAATCGGTTATTCTTCATATGCTCGCTCCATTATCCCATTCGGAGCAAACCTTCTTCTCGGGCCGCAAGCTCGTCCATTTGCCTGCGAAGGGTGTTCGGTGCTTCCGGTTGCCTACCGTAGTTGAGCATGGCAGGGCTGGTTCCCGTGGAACTGTGGACAGCAGTGTTCAACGCGAACGTGAGTTCAGGTAACACTCGGTCCCATTCTTTGTGATTCCCGCGCAGGTACGAGGTTATCATCGTCTTCAGAGTTCTGTTAACTCTTTCGGTAGGGTTAGTCTGTGGGGTATAGGTCGGCGTAAAGGTCCGTTTTATCCCTTGGTCTCTCAGGTACCCGTCTACCAGCTGATTACGGAATTCGGTGCCATTATCGGACAGGAAGACCTTAGGCGCACCGAAGCGCAGGATCACTCGTTCCCGGAGTTCCTTCGCGATCGTCTTACCATTGGCACTACGTATAAGTATGCACTCGACCCATCGCGTGAATAAGTCGATGAACACTAATACGTATTCGTGCCCTCGAGGGCTTCTTGGATAGGGTCCGGCGATGTCGCCCGCTACCACTTGTCAAGGTGTGGACAACATCTGATCTGTGAACAATCCCTCATGAGTCCGCGCGGCAATCGCTGTTCGACCTTACACTCCTGACAAACCTGACACTTTTGGACGTAACCTTTAATGTCCAAGTACATCCCTGGCCAATAGTAGGATTGGGCGATGCGGGCGAAGGTCTTCTCACGTCCCAAATGTCCCGCGGTCTCAAGGTCGTGGTTC